CGCATGTAGCGTCCGAACGGCCTACGAACTAATGTGACCACTCTAAGGAAAGATGAGACTCTCACGAAGATAATGGTGTTCTCTGTTTTGCTCTACGGACCCCACAAGTGTCACGTGACTCGTCTAAAGGTAACCCATACAAATGAATGGAATTATGGAGGTAGTTTTGTGCCAACAAAAATAAGGGGTTAAATATGTGTCCAAAAAAACAACTATATTTCCCAAGCTTTCTTTTATGATAATCTCCCTCGATCTGGGGCTCCACGCAAGATCTCATTCCGTGGGGTCAAAATGATCACAAGAACGGTGAGCAAAAATCCCAGAACCACACGGGGGGACCTAGTGAATGACCTGCAGAGAGCTGGGACCAAAGTAACAAAGCCTACCATCAGTAACACACTACGCCGCCAGAGACTCAAATCCTGCAGTGAAAGACGTCTCCCCCTGCTTAAGCCAGTACATGTCCAGGCCCATCTGAAGTTTGCTAGAGTGCATTTGGATGATCCAGAAGAGGATTGGGAGAATGTCATATGGTCAGATGAAACCAAAATATAACTTTTTGGTAAAAACTCAACTCATCGTGTTTGGAGGACAAAGAATGCTGAGTTGCATCCAAATAACACCATACCTACTGTGAAGCATGGGGGTGGAAACATCATGCTTTGGGGCTGTTTTTCTGCAAAGGGACCAGGACGACTGATCCGTGTAAAGGAAAGAATGAATGGGGCCATGTATCGTGAGATTTTGAGTGAAAACCTCCTTCCATCAGCAAGGGCATTGAAGATGAAACGTGGCTGGGTCTTTCAGCATGACAATGATCCCAAACACACCGCCCGGGCAACGAAGGAGTGGCTTCGTAAGAAGCATTTCAAGATCCTGGAGTGGCCTAGCCAGTCTCCAGATCTCAACCCCATAGAAAATCTTTGGAGGGAGTTGAAAGTCTGTGTTGCCCAGCGACAGCCCCAAAACATCACTGCTCTAGAGGAGATCTGCATGGAGGAATGGGCCAAAATACCAGCAACAGTGTGTGAAAACCTTGTGAAGACTTACAGAAAACGTTTGACCTGTGTCATTGCCAACAAAGGGTATATAACAAAGTATTGAGACACTTTTGTTATTGACAAAATACTTATTTTCCACCATCATTTGCAAATAAATTCATAAAAAATCCTACAATGTGATTTTATGGATTATTTTTTCTCATTTTGTCTGTCATAGTTGACGTGTACCTATGATGAATATTACAGGCCTCTCTCATCTTTAGATATAGGACAGACACTTCAAAACCTTATTTCTTATGATTTATTTTATGATTTATTTTTTGACTGTCTTTTTTGCCATTTATGAATGTGTTGTTCAATACGTTTCTATGGGCTATAGTAGTAAAAGCCATATTCTATGTTTTATCAAATAATTAGTAAATAAATACAAATTACACTTAAAACGGTCCTGAAATTCTAAATCAATTAGTTCAATGAGCCATGGTATGAGTCAAGTGCAAGTGTTGGTTCAGGAAAGAAAAAAACAAAACATGTATGTATTTATTTTATTATGTTTGGGGGGGGTCTAGGTGATTATTTAAGATAATCTTTGAAGAGGTAGGGTTTCAGGTGCTTTCGGAAGGTGGGCAGGGACTCTGCTGTCCTAGCAGAGACTATTAAATTTTAATTTTTTGATAGAAGAATCTTTAAAACAAGCAGCTGCAGGGGAGATCTACCTCTGATTTCACAGGGAAGAACTTAAAGAGTGAATGGTTACATGTCCCTTATATAGTGGGAGGTGATAATACAATCATATTGTTTACACAACAGTTATTTTATACAAGCAACCGTTCCGGAACACAATGGCCTTGTGTTAGGGTGAAGACATACCAGGAGTCTATGAAAGGCATAACATCACAGTCCAACACAGAACATATCCCGTGTAGCTCAGTTGGTAGAGCACGGCGTTTGCAACGCCAGGATTGTGGGTTCGATTCCCACGGGGGGGGGCAGTATGAAAAAAAAGATGTATGCACTCACTAACTGTAAGTCGCTCTGGATAAGAGTGTCTGCTAAATGACTAAAATAAAAAATATATCCCTTGAGAAGTTACAACAGCTCACCCCAAATTCTGCCACCACAAGGGGGAAGCTGGTTCCACCATTGGGGTGCCAGTACAGAGAAGAGCTTGGGCTGAGCGTCCGGACTAGTGGCCCGCTCTTCGAAAGCGGCAGCTCTAGCCTTTAGCTAAATGCAGATTTTGCCTGTAATCCATTTCTTCTGGTTGGGATATGTACAGTGCCTTGCAAAATATATTCATCCCCCTTGGCGTTTTTCCTATTTTGTTGCATTACAACATGTAATTTAAATGGATTTTTATTTGCATTTCATGTAATGGACATACACAAAATAGTCAAAATTGGTGAAGTGGAATGAAAAAAATAACTTGTTTCAAATAATTCTAAAAAATAAATAACGGACAAGTGGTGCGTGCATATGTATTCACCCCCTTTGCTATGAAGCCCCTAAATAAGATCTGGTGCAACCAATTACCTTCAGATGTCACATAATTAGTTAAATAAAGTCCACCCGTGTGCAATCTAAGTGTCACATGATCTGTCACATGATCTCAGTATATATACACCTGTTCTGAAAGGGCCCCAGAGTCTGCAACACCCCTAAGCAAGGGGCACCACCAAGCAAGCGGCACCATGAAGACCAATGAGCTCTCCAAACAGGTCAGGGACAAAGTTGTGGAGAAGTACAGATCAGGGTTGGGTTATAAAAAAAGATCTGGAACTTTGTACATCCCACGGACCACCAAAGAGGGCAAGGAGGGCATTAATCAGAGAGGCAACAAAGAGACCAAAGATAACCCTGAAGGAGCTGCAAAGCTCCACAGCGGAGATTGGAGTATCTGTCCATAGGACCACTTTAAGGCGTACACTACACAGAGCTGGGCTTTACGGAAGAGTGGCCAGAAAAAAAGCCATTGCTTAAAGAAAAAAATAAGCAAGCACGTTTGGTGTTCGCCAAAAGGCATGTGGGAGAGTCCCCAAACAGATGGAAGAAGGTACTCTGGTCAGATGAGACTAAAATTGAGCTTATTGGCCATCAAGGAAAACGCTATGTCTGGCACAAACCCAACCCCTCTCATCACTCCGAGAACACCATCCCCACAGTGAAGCATGGTGGTGGCAGCATCATGCTGTGGGGATGTTTTTCATCAGCAGGGACTGGGAAACTGGTCAGAATTGAAGGAATGATGGATGGCGCAAAATACAGGGAAATTCTTGAGGGAAACTGTTTCAGTCTTCCAGAGATTTGAGACTGGGACGGAGGTTCACCTTCCAACAGGACAATGACCCTAAGCATACTGCTAAAGCAACACTCGAGTGGTTTAAGGGGTAACATTTAAATGTCTTGGAATGGCTTAGTCCAAGCACAGACCTCAATCCAATTGAGAATCTGTTGTATGACCTAAAGATTGCTGTACACCAGCGGAACCCATCCAACTTGAAGGAGCTGGAGCAGTTTTGCCTTGAAGAATGGGCAAAAATCCCAGTGGCTAGATGTGCCAATGTTATAGAGACATACCCCAAGAGACTGTAATTGCTGCAATAGGTGGCTCTACAAAGTTTTCTTTTTTTTTGGTCTTATTTCTTGTTTGTTTCACAATAAAAAATATTTGGCATCTTCAAAGTGGTAGGCATGTTGTGTAAATCAAATGATACAAACCCCCCAAAAAATCCATTTTAATTCCAGGTTGTAAGGCAACAAAATAGGAAAAATGCCAAGGGGGGTGAATACTTTCGCAAGCCACTGTACATTTACATTTTAGTAATTTAGCAGACGCTCTTATCCAGAGCGACTTACAGTTAGTGAATGCATACGTTTTTTGTTTGTTTTTGTTTTTCATACTGGCCCCCCGTGGGAAACGAACCCACATCCCTGCCGGCCAAACCCTCCCCTGCCTTGGACGATGCTGGACCAATTGTGCGCCGCCCATGGGTCTCCCGGTTGCGGCCGGCTGCGACAGAGCCTGGACTCGAACCAGGATCTCTAGTGGCACAGCTAGCACTGCGATGCAGTGCCTTAGACCACTGCACCACTCGGGAGTCACTGTACGTACGGTTACTGTGGGGACGACGTCGTCGATGCACTTATTAATGAAGCTGGTGACTGATGTGGTAAACTCCTCAATGTCATCAGATGAATCACGGAACAATTCCAGTCTGTGCTAGCGAAATAGTCCTGTAGTTTAGCATCCGCTTCATCAGACCACTTCCGTATTGGGCGTGTCACTGGTATTTCCTGGTTGAGTTTTTGCTTGTAAGCAGGAATCAGGAGGATAGAGTTATGGTCAGATCTGCCAAATGGAGGGCGAGGGAGAGCTTTGTATGTGTTTCTGTGTATGAAGTAAAGGTGAGCTAGAGGTTTTTTAGCCTCTAGTTTGCACAGGTGACATGCCGGTAGAAATGAGGTAATACAGATTTCAGGTACCCTGCATTAAAATCACCAGCCACTAGGAGCACCGCCTCTGGATTAGCATTTTCTTGTTTGCTTATGGCCCTATACAGCTCGTTGAGTGCGGTCTTAATGCCAGCATCAGTTTGTGGTGGTAAAAAGACAGCTACAAAAAATACAAATGAAAACTCTCTTGGTAAATAGTATGGTCTACAGCTTATCAAGAGGTATTCTAACTCAGGCTAGTAGAACCTCGAGACTTCCTTAATATTACATATCGCGCACCAGCTGCTGTTAACAAAGAGACACACAGACATTTTTTTATGCTGTAATTGTTGTTTGCATGCGTTTCATCTAAGGACACATTTACTGTAAACTAACCTGTATCTTTCTGCTGTACGTTTTGCTCTCTACTTCAGCCTTGTTCCACAAAACTCACTGACAGGTTTTTTGAAAATGTTCGTCATTTGGACCGCAAAGGAGTCCATTTTAGCGTGTGTGATGTCTCCATGAGTCTGACAAAGTTTATTTCTGTCTGTGTCTGTCTCCAGGTTCGACTACCAGGAGCTGCTCCACAACTCCAGCTTCTGCCTGGTGCCCCGCGGTCGCAGGCTGGGTTCCTTTCGCTTTCTTGAGGCCCTCCAGGTACGACGTTTCCCCGTCAAAATCCTGTCCCTCCGAGGCTCCTCGCGTCTCCAAGTGGTTACCTTGGTAACGGGTGCTAGTCGTCAGCACGGCAGCCGGGATTGGAGCCTGTGAGTTGTGCAGGTCCTGCAGGCTGCCAGGCCTGATGCTTGGATTATTGGTATTGACAACCTGTCATCTTTTCAAAAACAGCCGCAGAAGATTTCTGTACTGTAGATAACAGAGTAGCCCTATTTTTATCTCTTCCAACACCTCCGACTTTCATTAACACCTGATCTTCTCCTCATCTCTGGAATGTTTATTTGGACTGACAGAAGCCACTATAGAAGTATTTTAGGATTGTTTATGACTTGGAACCATTCCATTATGGATGTGCGTGTGTCTATATACACTGAGTATACAAAACATTAGGAACACCTGCTCTTTCCATGAGATAGACTGACCAGGTGAGTCCAGGTGAAAGCTATGATCCCTTATTGATGTCACTTGTTAAATCCACTTCAATCAATGTAGATGAAGGGGAGGAGACAGGTTAAATAAGGATTTTTAAGACATGGATTGTGTATGTGTGCCATTCAGAAGGTGAATGGGCAAGACAAAAGATGTAAGTGCCTTTGAACGGTGTGTGGTAGTAGGTGCCAAGGGCGCCAATTTGTGTCAAGAACTGCAACACTGCTGGGTTTTTCATGCTCAACAGTTTCCTGTGTGTGTGAAGAATAGTCCATTACCCAAAGGACATCCAGCCAACTTGGAATATTAGGAAGGTGTCCTTAATGTTTTGTACACTCAATGTATACAGAGTAAGTTTTTATGGACACGTGGAATCTACTAAGAACGTAGTGTGTTATTACATCCAGGTACACTGAGGCCTGGCTAAAACGTAAAGAATGAAGGAAGCAGCCTAGTCATTTCTACCCCACTCTCTCTACAGGGTTGTCAGTGCAGCAGTTAGGCAGACACACTGTAGGTAACAATTCAAATGTGGAAATAATCATCTCACAGAGTGCCGACTGAGAGCTAGTCGGAATTGCGGCTGGGCTGCCTTTAAAGTGTGAGGCAGTTGCATTCTGCACCCAGATTTCCGAGGGGACACTTGGAGAGGAGAGGAGAGGAGAGGAGAGGAGAAATGTCACGACACTGACCCAGGCCATGCAAATCACTAAAGAGCAGAGGAGATTTAAACAGACAAACAGGCCACCAGACTTGGCCTTTCTCACAAAGTCTCCTTAAGCCCAAAATGAGTGTCAGCTTTTAATGATGGAGATCCAATTCTTACTTGAAAATTCATGGTTCTGTACAGTTCAGTACGCAGCGTTGCTTTTTATTATTTTATAAGTCTGCATGCATGGTTGATGACTACAAACCACACCAAATTAGATCCCACTAATGCAGTGCCACTGTATAGGAAATTAAAAAGGATTCTAATGATGTAGGCTATATTAATTTATCCGTAAGTGCTAGTGCACCCAGTTTATTCTCCCTAAAAATGGTTGCGACTTCAGTTTTCTCACCTCTGAAAATGCATTAATAGTGAATCCTTTGCAAACTTAGCTCGATAGAGAATTTGATCCCTGTAAAAACCTGACTTTAAGTGATAAACAGGTTTATGTGTTGCTATGGTGTTTCCTTTCATTAAATTGTGTAAAGAGGTTTAAGGAGTGAAACAATTTCACATTTCGATTTAATTATAAAGGTGCCGCTTTGAGGCAAACTACAAGTATTTCTGAATATTAAAACAGGCGCCACGATTGATGATCTATGTTCAGCAAACAAAGAAAACAAAACTCAAAATAATATTGTGTGTTGAAAAGTTATCTAATTTTTCACATATTTGTTTGTGTTGCTGGTGACTTATTCTCTGCACTAATGATAAGATCCGATGGCTTCAACTAAAAAACGTTATAATAATATAATAATAATATGCCATTTAGCAGACGCTTTTATCCAAAGCGACTTACAGTTGTGCGTGCATACATTTTTGTATATGGGTGGTCCCGGGGATCGAACCCACTACCTTGGCGTTACAAGCGCCATGCTCTACCAGCTGAGCTACAGAGGACCAATACGCCCTACCATTGTGTGACTAATATTCCACCTTTTACTCTGTGTGAAAGGCATTCAGATTAACCTGTTTGTAGACATGACTACAGAAGAATCTGATATTTCACTTTCCTGGAAAGAAATCCAACAAAATACCAGAGGAGTGTGTAAAGTAAGACTAGCTCTTGGATAACCTTGACTATTACCTCTGACCCTTTCTGTGCTTCCTCCCCCTCTCCTCGTCCTCCACCTCCTCTTCCCCCAGGCTGCCTGTATCCCTGTCATACTGAGCAACGGCTGGGAGCTGCCTTTCTCTGAGATCATCGACTGGAGCAAAGCAGCTATCATCGGGGATGAGAGGCTTCTACTGCAGGTAGCTACTGATGGAGACATCCTCCCTATGACACTGATCTCTCTCTCTTTTCACTGTTATTATACTGTACCTTAGGCCAGAACACAAGGGCCTCACAACTCACTTTGTGCTTTTAGTAAGGACCACTGTAAGGACCACTGTGGTGGATAACTTTTACCTCTCTACAAATGAATATATTCATAATGTTTTGCAAATGCACTACAGTAACTTTTTTGGGGGGTCAACATTTTTTCTTATCACAGCACTCTTGTTTGCTGTCAAATTTTGTTACCTCAAGCTACTCTCTTGAATCACTCAGCATTAGTTAGGCATTCCTACAGTTAACATTTGTTAGCCTCATTAACTAGCCATCCTTAGAGGAAGTGATTCCTCATCTTGCCAGCCACACCCACGGTTTCAGAGGGGCTTGTTTGCAGAGGGGTGTAATGAAATGCCAGTGTACCTGCACATATGAATCCACCCCACCCCTGCCTGTCTCCCGTAGCCAGGGCCCTATATCAATAAACTCTCCCATTTAATTATGTCATGCAAGGTGTATAATATTTAGATTATTTAATTACTGAATTTATTAGTAGCTGCTACCTAGCTGCCCTTTCATGACTCAGAGCTTGCCAGTTATTCATGTGGTGAAAAGGAAGAGGTTTGAAAAATACGACAGCCAAATGTCACGATGACATGAAAGTGAAGTGAATGAGGAAATTATGTGTGTCAAGATATGACAGGATTTAGCTTGAAGGTGTCATTCCCCTTCTTGTCTCAGCCCTACCCCCCACTTATGAACTCAGTACAATTAATACAGGAGCCGCCTGTTGCCGTAAAGGAGCTTAACTGGCACACTATAGAAACTGGACACATCTTTCTCAGACTACTGATACCCACAAAGATGGGATTTTAATTCGATTTGCACACAATTGCACTATTGAGACCACATAATGCAAAAGCAGCCTGTTAAAAGCCGTAAATGGTTTTAATGCAAGTCCTGTAATTATTTGTGATTATATGCTGTTGAATGGAAGACATTCAGTGAAGCAAATGTTTTTTCTCTCTCTTCACCCTCTCGTTACAAAGTCCCCGTCCTAAAAGCATGCTAATCGTTGTCAGACACACTATATATGCAAAAGTATGTGGATACCCCTTCAAATTAGTGGATTAAGCTATTTCAGCCACACCCGTTGCTGACGGGTGTATAAAATCCAGCACACAGCCATCAGTAGCGGTGCGTGGGTAAAATCACTGGGGAAGCCAAGCCCCCCCAAAAAAGCCATATTACAACCTATGTGTTGTGATAATTGCGTTGTTTGCTCTATAATCTGTTAATTCATATGCCTTATATAGGCCTAAAGGCCGAGACAATAAGAAGACAAAGTGGCAGAATAAATTCAACCACACCTTTGTGGTTAGCAACCTCTGTCCAGTGAAGTCCACAAAGCATATTGCATGTAACAGACAGTTACATGACCTACAGCATGGTCAAGCAAGTGAATGTTTCCGACATTTTCAGACCACTAAACAACTATTCACAAAGAAAACAGGAGCTGCCTCCACTATTCCAGCACCATTTCAAATAAAAGATACCAAAAACAATTTAGTCCTCATCAACTTAAGATAAATATGATGTGGCTGTCCATGTTTCTGATTTCTGTGTGCGTGTTTGTGGGTGTTCGTGCAAGTAGAAAAACATGTTGACTCACCCTACTCAGAGAAATGCCAGTGCCATCCTCCTCTCTTTCATGTTGATGAAATGGTCTATCACTCTGTCATACAGTACGCACTTTTATTTTTTGTTGTCCTAGGCTACCTAGCTAAAATGCTTGCTCGCTAGCCTAACTTCCATTCATGGGCAATGTTAGCTAGTTAACATTAGCATTCTACATCTAGCTACATATTGAACTTCCATCCTCTTAGGCCAGGGGCACAACAATTAATGAATTAATGGTTGGATCAGAATTGCCGTTATAATCTTTGACCAGTACGGAGAATTAAGTAAAACCACAAGTCCAAATCCCTATTTCCATCCATGGCTAATTTAGGAAAGGGCCAATTTTAGCTAGCTGGCTAGCTAGCCACCGGAGGACAACAACACAACGAGATGCAACAATTCAAATTTTCTGTCAATGACGTATGCTCTCAATGGGATTTGATAGGAGTGACGCCAAATCCAAGCTGGCTTCCTTTGGCACTTTTTTTTTGGTTCGCCAGGACCAATCACAGTTGAGCTCACTCAGTTTAGCTCAACGCTGATTGGCTAATTTTGTATACTTTTTTTGTCAAGGGAGGCCAGATGCTTGCTGGATTCCCTTGCCTTCAATGCTATGGGCGGCAACGATGTCATACTCGTTTGGACCAGACAGCATCAGATAGATGGCCTACACGTAGAGAGACAGAGGGGCTCTGTTTCGCTCGCTCGGATGCTATCTCCTGTGAAATACATTCAGCCTCTTGCGAATTGAGATGAAGCATTGGCAGTAGAATGGCCTTACTGAAGAACTCAGTGACTTTAAACGTGGCACCGTCATAGGATGCCACCTTTCCAACAAGTCAGTTTGTCAAATCTTTGCCCTTCTAGAGCTGCCCCGGATAACTGTAAGTGCTGTTATTGTGAAGTGGAAACGTCTAGGAGCAACAACGGCTCAGCCGCGAAGTGGTAGGCCACAAAAGCTCACAGCACGGGACTGCCGATTGTAGTGTATGTGTAGGTGTGGACGATATGCTGTGACAGCATATGAGGCTCTATGGGACGTTTTGTCTTCAGAAGACAATAAAAAAACATAATGACAGCATTTGTGCACTAAGCACGAATAATTAAATTATCCCATTACAAGTTGTGTAGAACTGCATTCACACTGGCGTCAGAAGAAAAGCAATGCAGCCCTCAGGCATTCAGAGTGGGAGTTAGATACAGAAGGATGCTAAAAGGTGTGGAAAGTTGTCAAACTTAGAAGCGTTAAAACACTGCTAATTTGTTCTCCAATCTCATAAAACATTTTAGAAAAAGGCTCATCTTCTTCTTATCCTCTCAAGGGGATGGTGCTGGATTATTGAAAACAGGTTATCCAATCATTTTGACCCTTATCTTGTTGAGATTTTTTTTTAGCACTTGTTAAACAAAATCTCTTTCTCTGAGAAATTGTATTTTCCATGTTTTGGAGCATACAATATAGCTCAGTATTTTAACTATTTATTTTATGCACTTTTTTTGCTGATCTTTATCAAGGAATCCAGTAATTCCAGACCCCACTGTACATCCAGCTTTGTTTACAGAGTTTGTAAATTAGCTATGCACGACTCCCACACCATATTGCTGTGTGTGTTGGTTCATAATGAGATTGAAGGAGAGTTTTTAAGTCAATCCACTGTTTTGGTTTTATACAACAATCAAGTTGCTGCACCTGCTGTGAAAATGGAATCTCATTGCATTCAATTATGTTGAAGAATGACACGCAACAACCCAGCACAACATGAAGTAGCATGTTCCCCCACAGAGGAGACACATAAACACTAATGGAGAGAGGGAGTGTGATTAGATTGGCTTTAGTTATATCCTGCCTCTGGCTGTATTAAAACTACAGATACTGTCACTGCCAAACATCAGCTCAGTTTTCTTTGTGATTTTGGTGTTAGAAATGTGACGTTCATTGTGTCAACGCTGATTTGTCTCTCCTGCCACGTGTCACATTGTCAATTGTATGTTTCTGTGTTTGTATAATTGATGAGGAGACTCAGAGAGGAGCAGTGACAGGACAGAACAGTGATGCAGTGCTGTCTGTTAGTTAGCAGGGTGTGATAGCATTGTGTGTTAACCACAGGAGTGACATGATCCCTAACTGAGGGGTTCACCCTCTCTCACGCAAGGCTAGTTTACCAGCCCATAATGTTTTAACACCTCAGTTTCTCTAGCAATATGACCAATGCTGGAGCTACCACTGGAGAGGATAGTCCTCAATTGGAACGATATGACAGAAAATTCCATTTGTCCTGTGCCACACAAATGACAGTGTAATCTGACCGTTGAGTACCATCGTTAACGATGTCATTGGTCCCTCAAGTAATTGCCACTAAAGGGACATTAGAATCCTACAGAGAGTGTTGCTATGACACCCAGGGGAGGAGTCAGTGTGTCCATGGGCCTCCCTCTGGAAGGAGGATTTCACCTAATCACATCTGCCCAGAGAATAACCCATGTTCCCCCACTCCCTCACACTCGTTACATTTTTTACTCTGTCCTTTTCTTTCCAGGTTTCTTCAATTACCAGATCTGTGGACCATGACAAAATATTGGGGATCAGGCAGCAGACTCAGTTCCTCTGGGATGCATATTTTTCTTCAGTAGCAAAAATAGTATTAACTACATTAGAGGTAAGCTCACCCATTTATAGAACTGTTCATGTGAATCAAGAGTGGGTGGGAGCAGGCTGGGAGGATTGCATGGTCAGACAGCCAGCAGCCAGGATAACGAATAGCCTTTTCTATAATGTGCATAAGTGGCCAGGATGAATTGATGGTGGCTGTACAACAGCATTCCCCAACCAAGTTCTTCATTTCCCCTTGTTTGTTCTTTCTTACTCCTCCTGACAGTCTGGCTCTTACTTTAGGAGTGTTCTCACTATACTCTCTCTTCTGTCTCAGTCTGGGGGGAAACAGACACAAAGGGCTTTCATCAGCCTCTTCCCCAGAACAGACAGACAGTCAGGACCTGCTATGATCAAAAGAGATTGCAGTGTAACGGTTTCCTCTGGCATCTTAAATGTGTGTGTACTACAGTACGGAGACGGGTAGCTGGGGGTTACTTATAAAAACGTCCCCTTGTGTTATGCTGCTACCATTTATTGAAGTCACACCCCCAAATATAGTGTCCCCTCAAAGCAAAGTTTAAATAATTGTCATGTTTCCCCTAGAACAATCAGAAATCAAATGTTTTGTTTGATGGTATGATGTGTTTGATGGTAAGATGTGTGGAGAGGAAGCCCAGGTGTGAGGTGTTTTGGCCTGCAGGTATGAGAGGTTCAGAGCAGGGTAACATCAGAACATTCTCATAGGCTCTCTGTGCAACCCCTCTGTCTCATTTAACTGTTTAGCTTTTGTCTTTTTCTTCTGGGGAAAAGTGTTTTACTTTGGTCTGACTTTTTCAATGGGTTTTTATACACTGAGTGTACAAAACATTAGGAACCCTGCTCTTTCCATGACATACACTGACCAGGGGAATCTAGGTGAAAGCTATGATCCCTTATTGATGTCACTTGTTAAATCCACTTCAATCAGTGTAGATGAAGGGGAGAAGACAGGTTAATGAAGGATTTTTAAGCCTTGAGACAATTGAGACATGGATTGTGTATGTGTGCCATTCAGACGGTTAATGGGCAAGACAAAATATTTAAGTGCCTTTGAACGGGGTATGGTAGTAGGTGCCAGGCTCACCGGTTTGAGTGTGTCAAGAACTGCACCGCTGTTGGGTTTTTCACGCTCAACAGTTCACTGTATCACTGACACATTCAGAAACCACTCTTATTAGTTATAATAGTGTTGGAAGCCCTAATTTAGAACTCACTCAACAGACACTCCAACCTGTCACCTATATGTCTTTGTCCTGTTGTTTTCTCTTTACTTCTGGAGGGTGTCAGTGTTTAATTTCCCCAGTCTCTGTCTTTACTCCATTCCTTGTACTATGCCTACAATTCACCACTTCATATCAAAGGAAACAATGACAGAAGGAGGGGTGAGTAGGAGGAGAAAAGAGAAAGTGAGGAGGGTATATTATAGGCATTCCGTCATGGTTCTTCAAAGGGAGCCACAGCAGCACTTTGTGATGAATTGGGTTTGGGATTAGGGCCGAGTGTTGGTTTTATGTGTTGCCGGGCGAACGTCACCAGCAGGTGCCTAGTCTGAATCCAACAGGGACAAAATTAGGCCCGTCTCCATGGATATTTACCATAGTGCAGAAGTGCTAAATGCTCGGGCTACATGCCGACTGACAAAATGGGGGAAATGAAGCATCCTAAATAGCCCCGCAAGTGGCACACACAGTGCTGTTGTGAGGCTTGCAGTAAGTGCCAGCTAATTCTCTATATAGATCAAAAGGCATCTGTCATAACAGTGTTCCTGGTACTGGACGGGCACATGGACTGTAAACTGTTATGCAAAACACCCAGAGGGTGGTTGTTTGTGGCGCATGACAAACAGCCAGACGTTACTCTTCCCTCATAGCCAGGTTTATCAGACCTGAATCTGTCAATGGAGTTTTCAGATACATTTTCAGAAAGCATACAATTCAGCACAAGTGTGAACCAGACAGAAGAAACTGTAGCAACTGGAAGAGAAGGTATCTTTAGCAACAGAAATTAAGCTCATCACCTAGAGTAAACAGTGGTAAGGTGTCGACCCCTCACCTCCTTTAACTCAGGGGGTACTTATTAAGGCCTATCTCACAACCTCATTAGGACCCACAGTACAAACGGTGGAAGCAGCCTGGAAAGCACCAGGCTCTGAGAGCGAGGCAGGAGAGGAGACATACCAATAGGGTCTGTCTCTGGCAGTGGAGCTGTAGCCTTTCTATTCAGGACAGGCAGTGAGTCAGGGGTCCATTGTAAAGAGCAATCAAAAGTATGTGGCTGATATGATATGAAATGACTGTTAATGACTTTGATTAACGTTTTATTTTGTATTTTGTCTCCATTGACACAACTAATATCGGGACCCATGGCTGATCTTCATGTAAAGCATGACCACTGCATGCAAATAACTCCTTACAGACTAAGAAACTGTGCAAGTTATTGCTGTTAGATAAACAGTCAGCAGCACAGTCATCATACATATCATATATAGCAACATGCGAGGAGATACAGGTCCAATCTCCACAGTCAACATGCAGGGTAACGGTTGTACCTGGGTGAATGGGAGTCAGTCCCAGCTGAGGGTATGAGGTTTATTCTGCGTCAGAGATGCTGCTCGACAACATGGCCACGTCCATCAGACCCAGCCTCCTGCAGAGCGAGCAGCTTCTTAACACTAATCCTCTCTCTCTCTTCTCCTCTCTCCTTCTCTCTGTGTTATTTCTTTTTCTGTAGATAATCCAAGACAGAATAAATTCACACATATCCAGGAACAAGTTGATGTGGAATTCGTTGCCTGGTGGACTATACGTTCTGCCGCAGTTCTCCACCGACGCTGCAGTGTTCCCCTTTTATTACTCCTCACTGGGTGAGTTGGAGCCTGTTTATGACCTGGTATTATGTGTCTGTATAACATACTCCTCTTCTATATGCATGGGAACTGTTGACACACAACCAAAGGATCAGACCACTGCTTGGTCCTTTAGGTCTTTGAACTCAGTGACCAAGTCAAAACGAAATTCTTCATTCACAACCAGTACATTGTGGAGGGTCTAATGTCAATGTGCCCTCTTCACCTCTTCCTCCATGCTGTTTTATATCCTCCAATGCTGCATTCTAAGAAATTGTTGCTCATGCTAACCAACTGCAGACACATTTTACGTTAACTAAAGTTCATGTTTGGGGACCAACCAATGCACTTTACAGCTGAAATTGTAATGGATTTAACCTTTGGGAACTGGTGTAAGTTATCCCATATTCTATCCCTCCTATCTCCAGTGCCATTAATTGCCGAGGGTCAAGTCCTCCCTAGAGTCAGTCAGTAGTCGTAACTGAAATGGAACAATGCTGCAGCAGAGCAGTCGGTGTCTTGTGCATTCTCTCCTGCATGGAGCACCTTGGAGCTGTGCATTATGAACTGTGCTGCTACCGCAGTCCTGTGAGGAGCACTGGGATGAAGCCGTAACTCAGATAGATGCTTGTCTTTCTCTAAGGAGTTGAGGACAGGAAGAATGGGCAGTTTGCTTTATGCTACCGCAGTAAATCAAGTTTTTGCCAGTTCTGGGGGAATAACTTGTCATCAATGCCGGTAATACACAGGCATTATCAGTCTCACTTTCCATCATTCTGATGGCGAAGCGGTTAAAAACTTTTCTAGGTAGTTAAAAAGTTTCTGGAGGTTTTTCTCACACATCTGCAGTTTAGGCCTGTGTAAATTCTACTGACTATTTTGCTGTTTTTGAAGTCTCTGTAAAATGTTTTTAGTTGATGTTACAATATTTTGCTATTAGGACAGCATCTGTGCCGCATCATATTTTCTGTGAGAAGTAGAAAACAAGGTGATGTTGGGCTCCATCTCTGGGGTCTTGATGACTGGGTATACCGCCTCAAAATCACAAATTGGATTTCCAACTTGTTAAGTAGAGTCCAGCTGCTTTGGCACCTCCTATCATGTGCTTCACAGGCTGTTTGCTTCACAATTCTCTTTTAACCATGTTTAAAGCTACTGGGAATGTATGAAGACATGCCAAATCAGTGGATGAGAAAGGGTAGGCCCATTCACAGCAAAAAACTGTTTGAATGTTCGCTGTAGAAACTCTGCTTGTTATCCGCAGTCATCAAAACCAATTCTCATCGCCATTTGAGTTCACATTTTTACTCATGAGATGTAATGTCTCAACTGAATTTGGTTTGAACTCAAATATTTTGAGTGAAAATGATCAGGAGGACCACCTTGAAGCTTTTTTTGCAGTACTCTTTATTATTAGCAGGAATTGTTCTCAAGTTATCCTTTCTTTTCTCTGCAAGCTATTCAGCAAACAGTGACACTAATGAGCTGTCAATCAATCTCAATCTGAAGCTTCATTATAGCCTTTTACATGAGGGGGAAAGTATATCTTGTCTAAATCTTTGGATTAGATCGACAGGGCATCAAAAACAATGTGAATTAATCTGAACGCTGCATATGCAGTTCCACAAAGTCTTCTCTCATTGCGTTGTGCCAAGTCGACATCGAGGAGAAGGACTATTTCCAGGAGGCTGCTAGAAGAGGAGTGATTTGTTTACCAACACCTCGTGTGAAAAGGCGGTAACACTTGCCCTCGTCACCACACCTCCTCACTTCCCCGGCACCTCTTTTATTTTCAAGGTTACAGCTACAACTACAGCAGCTAGATCTCAGCGAGGTTCAGGAACCCCTATCAGCTTTCTCCTCGGCAGTCACACCGCTGCTCTTTGTGAAGTAGTGATAATTATGCCACAGCGTCTGCGAGGTCTGTGTCTGATTTGATCCAACCTGGCTTTCTGTTATGGTCTGGAAAACCCTCCAAATTGCCTCGTTTGCGGATCATGATTGTTCCGGTCCATTGCAATGGGTGTGATACCCCCCCCCCTCCAAATTGCCTCGTTTGCGGATCATGATTGTTCCGGTCCATTGCAATGGGTGTGATACCCCCCCCCCCCCCCCCCCCCCCCCCTGTACCATAGTACAGTTTGACTATGTTCTGTCAACATTAGGGTCTACTTTCTGAGCGCGTTCCATACCACACTGAACCTTTCTAATGACCATTTCTAGAGCTCCTTCGCTAAGGCCAGTAACCAGCATAAAGGCTAATAACCAGCATAACCAATCCAGTGACACAGTGACACGCACCTCCACTAGGCGTACAGTAGTAGGATAAGCTGCAAAGGGCAGTCTCTCAAGATTAGATGGGGCCACGAAATGAGGCTCCTTTTTCACAAATGTGGGTGTAAGAGCATACTCTGCTACAGTTGTTTAAGGTGTGTTATATAATTATCAAGCCTTTAAGCCAGTGGAGTGGCAATAAATATTGGATCAATGCAACAGCATACCTTGTTGGAATGTAAAATATGTTTCCCTCATCTTAACAACAGTTGGAGAAACTTTTCAAACAACTTTGATCACAGTTCTTTCAATGAAAGTCATTTGAAATATTTTTGGGCCAGTTCTGCTTGGTATATTTGCAGTTTAATGTTTGATTCGAACGTTTGTTTGAACTGAACTTAAAATGGCTACCAGAAATGACTGTGGGGTTTCCCGGAGGAAACATTTCTTCTACACAAGTGTTGCCAGAATAAAATACTTTATCAAGGCTTTCGATGACAGGATGAGAACAAGGTCCTAATGCAGTACTGAATCCCTCTGAAGATGATCGGCAGAAATGTTCTACAGCTTTCTTTGCTCATGCAACGTCTGCAAAGAGCAATCCTCCTATTCAGGCAAATGTTCTGCTCAACAAATAGACATACTAACAGTCAGCTATCACGTCCCACGTCAAGGAGGCATCCTTGTGTGACCGCACAGCCTCCACCCCCATTAAGACGGTAGATCCATAAATGGAGCCCAGTACATCAGAGGCCAGAGAGACCACAGCCCCATGTCAGAGAGATTGATTGGGATGCTGTAAGTGCACTAGGTGCCCATTTAGGCGTGAGGAGGTGGATGGACTGGAGAGTCCAGTCTCAGTCTACTCTGAAGATGTGGGTCAAAAGATGAATGTCTTGATGTATGTGTCTGAAGGTGTGTGTCTGAACGTGTGTGTTTTTCTGTGTGATTGCAGGTAAGAGCCCGTCCCAGGAGTTCACTGCTGTTATCCAGGCTGTGACTCCTCTCCAGTCTCAGCTGCAGCCCGTAGTCAAGCTCATCATCGCTGTTGCCAAATCCAAGTTCTGTGCACAGGTGAGAGCTCAGCATAGAGATCCTATTAAATTAAATTAGTATCTAATTGCTAATTCTATGAAACGCAAACCCATGAACCGTGAGCTGAGGCGAAACTGCAGGGATGCAGACCATTGATTTCTATACTGTAATTCATATGTGAAAGGATAGAAGTCAGCGAGAATTAATCTAGTTATATGATGTAGGATAAAGCTTTACAGCTATACTGTAGTCATGGCATGCCGCCGCATGTTATATTGAACTAGATATTATCAAAGTTTGCAAGGAAAGACAGACTCAACTCCGCTGTGTATCCGCTGCTACAAACCAATGGCTATATGTACAGTGGGGTCTATGCACTTTGAATTGATATTTTGTTGACTTGTTTTATTTGAAGATCATTGTGCTGTGGAATTGTGACAAGCCTTTACCTCCGAAGAGCAAGTGGCCCTCCACCACCGTGCCTATCACTGTCATTGAGGGAGAGAGAAAGGTAAGAGTTTTCCTAGTTATGCGGGCGTTAAGATTACATGTTTCGCTATCGATTTTAATGTGTTTTATTGAGTCTTGATCATTCAGAGGGAATGAGCATGGTTGTTAAAGTCAGGGGAGATAAAATGCAGTCGTAAATTCCTCATAAAATCCATTCAAGCTTTTCTTTAATTTGTACCTTTTGGAATTGTCCGTGACTGAGCTTAGCTTACCTTGACTGTTGAGCCATCACACAGCATGAGGCTGCTTCCAGGAGCGTTCCAGGCGGTCTCTAGTTGAAATACACACAGGGTCATTACTGTGCCAAGCCTCAGCTGAATCATTTTAGTAATGCTACAGTAAGGCACCACTTTGCAGTGTTCTTATGAGCTTTGAAAACTTCATACTTCCAAAGAGGACAAATGCACTTACTGAATCTTATAACACACTAATGTGGTTTCAATCTAACTACTCTGATTAAACTCTATTGCACGGATTTGATACAGTACGATTCTTCCAACCGTTCATTGAGTCCAAATAATCACTCAGATTGTGTTATTTGGAGCATTCCATTTACAAAATATATATTACACAAAGCAAAAGTGGAATTCCAATCAGCAGTGTCATGCATGCTGCCTACCACAGAATTCAGTCAAATCTCTCTCTCGCGCGCGCTCTCTCTCTCTCTAGTCAAATCTCTCTCTCTCTTTAGTCAAATCTCTCCCTCTTTAGTCAAATGTATCTCTCTTTCAATCTCTCTCTCTCTCTCTCTCTCTCTCTCTCTCTCTCTCTGTGTGAGTCTCTGTCTCACACACAAATACACACATTCACACACCCCTCAGTTGTTTCATACAGAAGTAGCAGCCCAGCTCTTGTCCTAACACAAGGGTAGTGCTGACTGCAGCCCTCTCCATTCTGCCCCATTGAGGCAGGAGCAGGACCCTAAAACCCAATGGCAGCTCCCTTAATTGATTCTGTTTGTTCCCATGTAATAAACACAGCAGTGGAGAAAAATGTGTTTCCACTATAACAATAAACAGCTTTTCAAAAAGGCATCTATGGGCCCCTAATTACTCACTCAGAGTATTCTAGTCTAACAAGACAGCTGCTCCAGAGTAGTAATTCTCTGCAGCTCTCTCCCCAAACAATAAGAGCTTTGCTGTGTTGAAACGTTCACATCACACTGAATCAGAGTGCTGCCTGGAGACAGAGTAATAGCTAACGGCAGATGTGTTCCATTTTCTTCTATTGTGCATCTTTTGTTGTCCCTCATGTAATCTGCCAAATAAAGGAAAGTCATTGAATCAAAAAGAAAGGAGGACCAAGGCACTCTTCATATAATTAAAATGCTTTTATTTGTATGGCATGTTCAATGGAACAAAGTAATTGTATGTTAGCCAGGGCGGCTGTGTATCTAGAGGCTTTTATTATCTGGTGTGTCCTAAATGGTTTCATCCCATCAAGGCCGGCATACTCTTTAACCTCTACGGGATCGGTGTCCCGTATACGAGACAGTTGAGCTAACGTGCGCTAATGTGATTAACATGACTGTTGTAAGTAACAGCAAACTTTCCAGGACATAGGCATGTCTTATATGGGCAGAATGCTTAAATTCTTGTTAATCTAACTGCACTGTCCAATTTACAGTAGCTATTACAGTGGAAGAATACCAGGCTATTGTTTGAGGAGAGTGCACAACAACAAAAAACGTATCACGGTAACTGGTTTGATACATTCACCTCTGAAGGTAAATAATGTACTTACATTCAGTAATCTTGCTCTGATATGTCACCCTGAGCGTCCCAGAGATAAAATGTAGCATAGTTTTGTTTGATAAAATCAATTTTTATATTAAAATGTAGGAACTGGGTTCTAAAGTTTGAACCCCTGCTGTCTCTGGCTCCACACCCACCCCGCCCGGCCATCTAGATGTGTGAAAGTTAGTGTATAAGCTTTTTTTTGGTATTATCTTTTACCAGATCTAATGTGTTATATTCTGCTACATTAATTTTACATTTCCACAAACTTCAAAGTGTTTCCTTTCAAATGGTATCAAGAATATGCATATCCTTGCTTCAGGTCCTGAGCTGCAGACAGTTAGATGAGTATGTCATTTAAATTGAAAAAAAGGGTCCGATCCTTAAGAGGTTAATCAAATAGGCTGTGTTTTCCTAAATACATGTCACCTATTTATTTAGCATGAAGACTACAGGCTCGTGTGTTATTACACAGTAACCTAGACCCCATTTATTGTGTTTTTCGGTCCTATACTCGCCATTGTTTTTGCACTGTTTTCATTTTTAGCAAGCTACAGATGTAGGATCTTAATTTGATCCACCTGTTGTAAGAGAGCTTTCCTGCAATGCAGGACATTTTCAACTTGTAGTGTATTTGAGGTTTATAACGGCTTCTGAAGTTTGTAATTTCCACTTAGAAATTTCAAGCTTGATTTTCCCTTACAAAAAAAATGTCTATTAATTATAATCCACATAATAATTCACATTTTCTGTTGCTGCAGGATTATTTTTCCTGCTGTAGCAAACTGGCTCAAATTAAGACCCTACATCTGTAGTGTGAAAAGCAGAGGCATACTGTTCATGCTACTGCATGAATACACTGTGTGAAAGACAAGGGAAAACACAGGCTGCTGTGAAAGGGCCTTGATGAACCACAGGCCCTCTCCGTCGTAATCTATCATTCACATTTATATATTTTTCTCCCCTCCATCATTCTTTTATTTCTATGTGGCTCCATAGTACACGCTAATCAGCCATGAGTAGAGGTCACTGGCAGCATTCAATTAAAATCCAGCCAATTATATTATCGATTTTTCCTCCATGTTTCTATCCTCAGGAAAGTAACACATCTAACAATAGGTCCCCTCATATTTTTCCTTCAAGTGGGTTTCAATTTGAAGGCTATTTAAGTTGACCCACATCCGTGCCATGGATCACATTATATCCAGCTAACATTAAATCACAATCCTTGCTCTCGGCAGACCTGCCACTCACTCCCAGGGCCTGACGGCTTGGAGCTAAGCCCTTCACTGACTTGTGGGAGGGGGTGTATGTCTGACTATGTGTGTGCGTGATTGTGCACGTGTGTGTGTTTGTGTCAGATCTCCACAGTAGCATCTCCACAGCTGTGTGTGGGTGGCTGGCTGAGTGTGCTCCTCTCCTGCGATGCGATGCCTCAAGAAGGGCTCACTGTCTCATTAGCACCTCTCCCTCTCCCCATCCTCGTCAGATAGCTATTTTCATCACCTGCTAAATTCATATACAGCCTGGATCACAAGATGTCTCATCAGAAGGGAACATGGCCAATAAGAACAGATAATGAAATGTGGTGAAACTTCCAAATGTTAGATGTAATGCAAAGCGTTGAGTCGTTGCGTTCGAGTCCAATGCTTTTGAACACTACCAGTTTCTCCTCAACTCAATTCATGAGTTGATCCTCAGAATCAATTCAGTCCATTCATTCATATTTGTGTTAAATGTCAGAGGGCAGAGTTCCGAATTTACTGAATGGCATCATTACTCATCAGTATTTCTTATATTGTTCACATTTTACAAATTTTGATTCACAACTTAAATTCACAATGTCCTTATCACCTAACATGCAATCAAATCAAGCTGTAGGTTACAGTTGAGGAATAATGACACATGATTGCACTTTGAAGCAAATTTGTTTTTTTTAAGTATCCTGAAAGTGGAGGAAATCTATTACTATTGCAGAAAAGCATGCCAACATGGTACAAATTATCCAAGTTAAAGAGGCTGAACTATCTCACTACACTTTCCCTTAAACTCCAATCAGAGTCTGTGTAAACAGCAGTGGTGAAGCAGATGGGTTTCTGTGGGTATGTTAGGGTTCCTGGGTCATGGGGCATGTTGAGGTTATCCCTGGCCTGTACTCTATGGTGGTGTTTCGGGCTCCCTGCACTCATGAGGTGGGTGTCTAATGATCCATAATGCATTGAGGTCAGAGGAGGCCAGAACACACAGTCCCACAGGACTTGTCCTGTCTCCCAGGCAGGCAAGACACCAGGTGAGAGAGAGAGACTGGTCAGACTAAGGACCAAGGGCCACTAGCAAACAGCAGATGACAAAGACACTTGATTTGTGGCTTTATGTTTAGTCATAACTTCAAAATTGTCTTCTGCTTATTTGGCATTTTTATCAAACATAATGCAATTTTAGTTTACAATAATGCAATGTATATTTAATCTCTGAACATTTTCTTAAAGTGTATCTTTACCCCACTATGACAGCACTTGAAGTACATTTTATGACAAAAATGACTTACTTGAGCCATTTAAATACTTTTCTCTGCTGAGCTTTGACTATGAGTGTGTCAGGCATCAAATCTGATTAACCCTTAAAGAAAATTATTGAAAAGCCTCTAAAGATTGGCCTTGAAGTAGCAGGAGTTAATGGAGATGAGAATGATGCCAAATCTTCACCAGGTGACTCAGTGATACATCACTGTATATCTGCCTAGGGGGAAAATCCATTGACACGGACCAGAGAGAGAGGAGATGGAAAGAGAGAGGAGATGAAGAGAGAGAGGAAAGTAAAGGAGGGAGAGGAAAATAAAGGAGAGAGAGGAAAGTAAAGGAGAGAGAGGAGAGGAAAGGAGAGAGAGGAAAGTAAAGGAGGGAGAGGAAAGGAAAGGAGGAGAGGAGGGAAAGGAAGAGGAGAGAGAGGAAAGGAAAGAGAGAGGAGAGGAAGTAAAGGAAGAGGAGAGGAAAGGAGGAGAGGAAAGTAAAGGAAGGAGGAGAGAAGAGGAGAGGAAAGGAGAGGAGAGAGAGAAAGGAGGAGAGGAAGAAAGGAGGAGAGGAGAGGAGAGAGAGAGAAAGGAAAGGAGAGAGGAGGAGAGGAAAGGAAGGAGGGAGGAAAGTAAGAAGGAGGGGAAAAGAGGAAAGGAAAGGAGAGAGAGGAAAGTAAAGGAGAGAGAGGAGAGGAAAGTAAAGGAGTGAGAGGAGAGAAGGAAAGAGAGAGGAAAGGAAAGGAGAGGAGGAGAAGGAGAGAGGAGAGAGAAAGGAGAGAGAGAAGAAAGGAGTGAGAGGAAAGAGAAGGGAGAAAGGAGAGAGAGGAAAGTAAAGGAGGAGAGGAAGAGGAAAGAAAGGAAGGAAGAGGAGAGGAAAGTAAGATGGGAGGGAAGAGAGAGGAGAAGGAGAAAGGAGAGAGGAAGTAAAGGAGGGAGAGGAGAGGAAAGAAGGGGGAGGAAAGTAAAAGGAGAGGAGAGGAAGAGAAAGTAAAGGAGGAGAGGAGGAGAGGAGAAGTAAAGAGGAGGGAAAGAAAGAGGGAGAGGAGATGAAAGGGAAAGGAGGAGAGAGGAAGTAAAGGGGAGAGGAGGAGAGAGATCAATAAGGAGGGGGTAAAGGGGAGAGGAGAGAGAGGATAGTAAAGGAGAGGGGGGAGTAAAGGAGTGAGGGAAAGGAGAGAGAGGAAAGTAAAGGAGAGAGAGGAAAGGAGTGAGAGGAAAGTAAAAGGAGTGAGAGGAAAGGAAAGTAAAGGAGGGAGAGGGAAGTAAAGGAGGGAGAGGAAAGTAAAGGAGGGAGAGGGAAGTAAAGGAGTGAGAGGAAAGTAAAGGAGAGAGAGGAAAGTAAAGGAGGGAGAGGAAAGTAAAAGGAGTGAGAGGAAAGGAGAGAGAGGAAAGTAAAGGAGGGAGAGGAAAGTAAAGGAAGGAGAGGAAAGGAGTAGAGAGGAAAGGAGAGAGAGCAATCTGAGAACACTGTGCCTCTGTCTCAGTGGGACCAGTTAAAGCAGCCCTGGGGGTGAGGACGAAGGACGGTGGGCCCTGGGACAGAGGAGGCGGAGAGGGACAGACCCAGGGGGGATGAGAGGGAGAGATGGGCAGAGTGAAGGACAAACAGTCCCTGAAGATGTGTATTGGACTCTGAGTTCCAGAGTATATAGAGACCTGAAGGCAGAGCTGTGGTTGAATCAGAGGGGTGAGCGATACAACATCAACAACAACAACAGCTGGCTGGCCTGATATCCAGAGCAGTGTGTAACCATCAGAACATGGGGATGGGGAAATTAGAGCAATAAGTACATTATACAGAGTATGGTCGTTGTCAATGCAGAGCTAAATGAATGCCACTGTTGTAAAGAGTGTGTTGATAATTTTTACCTCTAATTACTGAGGGAGTTTTGTTTGAGAGTGCGTCAGTGAGTATCCTCATGGCTTTACTCTGAAAAACACAGTGAAATTAAGACAGTATTACTGGCATGCTGATAGACATACTGTAAGAGCTTATTGAGATCAAAGGAATCCATGTCATGTAGAATCTTTTCAAATTTGGCACTGTTCAATTGATGAAATTATTCTCAACTAAAGAGGCATACTCATTTCACATTGTGATATTTGCTATTAATTTCTATTTTGACCCAAATATATTCGCCCTTGGATATCCAAGTTCCTGTTTCCACAGAGGGAATATAATTAGCATGTAATAGCGACGGATTCATTAGGATTTCAGTCTATGAACTTGGAGCTACTAAAGCCCCCTTTTTCCTCGTTTATATAAATACACTTAAATAATACAAATCCTCTAATTATGAGTCAATAGCAGTATTACAGCCATCTCTGTAAAGCCTTCATTTAGTGTAATGGATTAGGGCATCCACATCATATTAGCCCGGCCGGCAGATCGATAGTTCATACATACAGGGTTGTGGGTTCGATTCCCACGGGGGGCCAGTATGAAAAATGTATGCACTCACTAACTGTAAGTCGCTCTGGATAAGAGCGTCTGCTAAATTACTAAAATGTAGATACATACAGAATACGGTGATCCCGTAAGCTGTGGTAGGAGAATTATCATAGAAATATGCATTCCTCATGTAAAATGGATTTGCAGTCCCATGAGGGTTAATGCTGCAGCCCAAGTATTTTAATAAACTGGTTTTATTCAATCAAGCCCCCAAGCACCGAAGACAGAGAGGATAAATACACATCAGTCATATTTAACATGACAGACTAAAAACATAAAATAAAACAATAATATTGGCAAATCCCGGAGAATAAGATCAACGGCTTCCACTACCTCTTCAGAAAAAACAATCCTCACACTCACGATTCATTTGAGCACCCTTATGAATAGCAACAGATTCTATGCACAGATATAGCCTTTTATGAGCTAACCTATATACTGTAGCTACCTATCAGAAGAAGCAACCCCCCACACCCTTCTTTCTCAGGAACGTTGTCTTGTTACCTGAGTGTTTATCATTGTCATAGAGAGTCAGGTCTGATTGCTGTCATTCATCCCAAGGGCCCTCCACAGCTGATAAATGGCTGATTACTGAGTGTATAATAGTTGGACTGAAAGCCTGTACTTTGACACTCTATCTCTCTCAATATGTTCCTAGGAGAGCTTTTTGCCACACGACTCCTAAACGACTCTTAAAGTAACCCAATGCTCCTCGTTTAATCAATCCCTCAGCTGGTAAATTAATTTTCAAAAGGCCCCATGAAGGGCTCTCCTGAGCCAAGAGGCTTGGCTCCGTGCAGTGCGGCCCTGCCAGCGATACACTGTCACTATTATCCTGCTATGACACACCAGGCAGGGATAGTTAAAGCAAATAGGAAATAATGTTGCATTGAAAAGGGCCCATTAAGCCGCGCTGATGTGAGTCCACAGCACCTGGAGTCATCCGCCACTGCTGCCACTGCAAAATAATGACATGAGGCCCTGTCGATAGCGCGGCCAGGCCCACTTGCTCTTGAGCAGCCAACCCGAGGCGAGGCTAATCTTCAAGTCAACAGGTTCCTGTCGATAACTTCCTGATTTGATGAATGAGGGAGCAGCCAGTGAAGATCAGGAGGGAGAGAGAGGGAGGTATTAACCCCTTAAGCTTGGTGTCAAGAGCATTACAGGGCGGCAGGCAGGGGGAGTTTTAGTGAAGATGCATCACACCACACACTCTGGCTGGCAGCCTCCCAGAGAGAGAGACAGTGTGGGGGAATTACCCTGACATCCTTCTCAGGAGGCCACTGCTGACAGTTCACTTCTGCGATGTGTTTGTTTCCTAATATTATAGGACATAACTTTGCAGCAGGCAATCTACCAATAACGCTGGCCGCAGAGAGAGAAACAGCCATCAGTCATTTCAAATAGAAATACCCAGAGAATTTCGTAGAAATTAAATACGCACAGTCTATAACATGGAGATAAAGAGTTGAGGCATTTTATTAATAATATGTCATATTATTGCATAGACATTTTTCCATTGTGTACCTACACTGTAATTGCGCTGTATTAGTAGGACAAGTGTTATTGTGAAGTGGGGCTTTGGACAGAAGATACTGCCGGGCCATTATGGTGTTTTTAATGTCTCATTGGCCTTCACCCACATACTCCACAGAACAAGGTTTTTCATCCAATAATCAGAGCAATATTTCCTCCTTAAAATGAAAAGTCCTTCAATAATGGGAGCTTTCCAGAAGTAGCCTACAGAGGAGTGGAATTTGAGGCCCAAAATAACAAAGATTGGCCTTCTATGGATGAGCTGTTACGGAGGGCTAAAGAAATGCAATTATGTTTCAAACCGAGAAGAAGGTTAACGTTACTCTCTCGGTGCGTCAGGATGAAGTGATTAAATATTTTGCTCTTCTTTTCAGCCAGCATGAAAAAGTGACTCCTCTCCTGCTATTTCTAACAGAGCCCTTTCAAACATACTGTACCTGAAATACTTAAACTTGTGATTGAATAGGTCCCCACACACAGTCAGAGGTGCTAACATCAGAGCCAGTGGATGGATTGTTGGAGTTTGCGACTGCAGCAATTGACCACATCTCTCCCTCTCTCTCTCTCCCCCTCCCCCTCTCCCCCCAGACAATGAGCAGTCGCTTTTCCCCCCATGACGTCATCCTCACAGATGCTGTCCTCAGTCTGGACGAGGACTCCGTCTTGTCGACCAATGAGGTAGGAGGATTACTTATTATTCCCTCTCTGTCTCCCTATTCTACCTGGGGCTTTAAAGTTCAAAGACCAGATTCAATTAATCCTCATCTATTAATGTTATGCAGCATCTTGCCCATGCACTCTTCTTATTGTGAAAACTGGAAGGTACCTTTGAGGGGAGTCTACCTGGTAGTACAAGTAGAATTTTATAGTACCCAAAACCATTCTCTGATTTCATTTTCTATTGGGAAAAAGAGCTAGGCGGGCTCGATTGAACGGAGTCCCAAGCCTGTGTGTGAAAATTAGCCAACAATTAACATTGTATGATCAGCTACAGCATTTCCTGTCTCTTATCTGACATTGACATTCACAACAACACCAACTGGTGAGATTTAGCAGCATCTGAAGAATCAACAGAGCTTACAGACAGTTTCTTGAAAGTAGTCCCTCTCCCAGGGGTGTGGAGATGTACACCAACTGACTTCCTTCATCTTCAAAGCAACTCCTTGTTTTGTTTATAGTCTGTTGTTATGCAGAGCGCCGTGTCGCTGCGCTTGTTGCTACGCTATGCTCCGTCTCTGTGCCTGCATTTTGTTCGTGTTAATTCTTGTTTCTGCTATTCAATTAGTCCCTGTATAATATTTGCACATTGCAGAATCAGCAAAGCGCTTAAGCTCTTTTTAATTGCTTGTTCCCATATAATTCGATCAGGCATTAATGTTACTCCATTAGAACATGGCCTAATGGAGTGAATCAAACTCAGATTTGGGTCTTTCAGAGTAACTGCTCTGGCCTAGTTCAAACTGGCACTGGGGCCCGGGCTGCACTCTACAGAGTAAGTCAACGCTGGTATCATGACCTACTGTAGAGGAAACCAGTCAAGACAAATGGAGGTGAAGCATGGTGACAGGTTATATTAGTAGATCAAGTCTGTGGTCCAGGTGGACACTAACCATTCACAGTAGAGAGTATTCCATCCTCCAACTAATACATCTCAGCCTGTTGAACCACAGGGACTTCTTGCCTTATAGGAGGCTGTTGAGGGGAGGACGGCTCATAATAATGTCCGGAACTGAGCAAATGGAATGGCATCAAACACATGGAAACCATGTGTTTGATGTATTTGATACCATTCCAGCCCGTCCTCCCCAATTAAGGTGCCAACAACCTGTGTCTTGCCTCATCTGATCAATTCCACCCTTGTGTTTCTCCATTAAACAGTATCAGTGAAATGGTCTGGTATCTTGTCTCCAAGTTTCTCTCGCCCTATTGATTTTACGTTGCATGTTAATATTGATGAGGTAATTTCAACACCCCTTGTCCATAAGAGAAATCCCTGCATTGGAAAACACAATGGAGTTAATTTCTCAAGCATAGCGTAATAATTAATTCACCTCTCGTGGTCAGGATGGATTGATTACCCCCTTAAAGGAAATAATTTGCTGTATTTAAGATTCCTTTTAAGTCCTGTTATTGAGTCACTGACTGGCAACATCTTGAACGAGGGTCATTTCCTCCTGATACTTTCATTATCTGGATGTAGTTTGCTAAAGGAGCTTCCCATGCTGTGAAATGCAAATTCGGTGACCATGGTGCCAATTCAAAAAACATGTATTCACCATCTGGCCTGGAATGAGAAACTAATGAAAGCCCAAGTTGTTTCAAGCAATCAAGAGGTTTGTGAAACCTATTACCTCTCCGGCATGCTAGTCTCTGCGATGATCATTAGACTGTCAAACCATGAAGTCACAGTTTGATTAAGTTTCACGTCTTTGAAAGGGAAAAGCGCTAGAGTGGCTCATTTTGCTGGCAGTTGTAAAAATCACTAAATTAACCAAAGCAGCAGTTGCCTCTGTGAAGATTATGTTCTCTCTTTTTTTAAATCAAAAGTTTCAAACATTTGCAGAGATCTTTTGGCTGAGCCCTTGGAAATGTTGACGTTGTTTGTGTGTGACACAATGTACAAGTTGGATTTGCAGTGGTTTATTGTGTTCCAAAAATCAAGCTCATTACGAAATCCATTGTTTTCTGCATCAAATTGGAGTCTTGGTGGTTGAGTGATAATAGTTTCCTGCACCTGCTGCTTTCCATTCTAAGCACATGTTGTATTGCTTCAGTGTGTATCAATACAAGTAAGAAAAGGTTCTGCTTTGGGAAATGGAAAACTTCAAAACTGACCAAGATGTCGGTGTAATGATTACGTTCCACATGTATTTCCGTCATACCTTTTTGACACATGATGGACAGACAGACACAGTAGGCTATGTTTCTCTTTCTGGTCTATTTCACCCCATCCAATACCTGCATTAAGAATGAGACCATCTGCAACCATTAAGTTAGAGCCCCAACAAGGCTTTAATGAAGAAGTTTCATGCAGGTGAAAGGGAAGGGTTTTGCCAACATACACCTTTCAGACCACAGCTATCCAAATTTGAAGCTCCCATAAGATTTCAGTGAGTAAAGACCCAATCCTTAGTGAATTCTTAGTCTATCAGTGTGTAAGAGACCTGCAAAATATGATTTATCTATTTCAGATTTTATTAATTGCAGCAAGTCTATCTTCACCTTCCAAGAGGATCCACTTAAATTGTATAGTGGTACAAGATTACAGAACGGATGTTACAAAAGTTTTATGAGGTAATTTCAGAAAAAAGACAGAGCCTACATATGTCTGTCGAAAAGCCAAGAACCAGTCAGATGCAAATCCCTCATCTGCTTAATAATCTGTCTCAGTAATTGCCCTTTAAACATTGAAAGCATCTTAATTTAAAATAACTGAAATGTGAGGGAGTAGAGCACTTTTAATGGGACTTTTACATTTACATTTTAGTCATTTAGCAGACGCTCTTATCCAGAGCGACTTACAGTTAGTGAGTAATAATAATACATAGAACAGTGACTGGACAGAATTTATAATTGCATTGCTTCAACTCATTAATCACATGATTATGCTTTAAGTGAGAGTACGGTGTGGAATATGAATGTTCCTATTATGACACTGTCTGGCTGCCCATGGGAGAGCAGGGCACAGATAACAGTAAAACAGTCAGCCTGTCAAATGTTCTCCAGTGGTATATATCAACAAATGCTGCATGTCTGTCTTTCCTATATGACTATATGCTCTTAGAAAAAAAGGTGCTGTCATGAACCTAAAAGGGTTATTCAGCTATCTCCATAGGGGAACCCTTTGAAGAACCCTTTTTTGTTCCAGGTAGAACCCTTTTGGGTTCCATGTAGGACTCTTTCTACAGAGGGTTCTACATGGAAGCCAAAGGGGTTCTATGTGGAACCAAAAAGGGTTCTCCAAAGGGGACAGCCGAAGAACCCTTTTGGAACCCTTTTTTCAAAGAGTGTACTTTTCTATTATTTAATAACATATCACATCAAATGCCACATGTAATCGATATGCCGGTAGAGATTTGTGATGGATCTGTTTGTAGACTCTTAGGAACCCATATTCAGAAACCTTTTATTTATTACATGGGATTAATGTATGTTGCCCTTGGAAAGCCTTTCTGCTTGGATATCATTCCCCCTCTGCACATGTCATTAATCTCTGTCCCTATTACCAATCCATAATTAACTAAGACACATTGTGAATGGGCCTGTCACAAAGGATGCGAGGCACAATCAGGGCATTATAAGAGTGTAATTCCAAAAGGCAAAATTATTTGCATGGTATCATAAATCCTGCACTGAGGTAATGGCTAATGCGACGATTAATCAAAGGCTACACGTTTTCCTCAGGTTTGTGGTCTAATTTCTTCATAATTGCGCACACACACCATGACACAGCTAAGAGGTGTTTGATTATTTTAAGGGACCTTCTGTTTTTTGGGCTCTGTTCTCTCTTGCATTTTGGAAATTAATTTTGTGCCACTCTGCCAACAGAAGTCAGTGTGTGTATTATAAAGTATTCTACTATGTAGTGTTCTTCATATTCTCTCGACTTGAGCAACTGTCTTTTGACATTTGGTGTTCCAAATCTACTCTTTTGCTACATTGTACTGTTGACATTGCTCATCTATTGCATAAGTAAATCTGTCTATAAGGGATTTTGAAAGATGTTGTCTTTTACTCTGAACCCCAGGTTGACTTTGCCTTCATCGTCTGGCACAGTTTCCCAGACAGGATCGTGGGCTACCCAGCACGCAGCCATTACTGGGATGGCAGCAAATCAAGATGGGGCTACACCTCCAAGTGGACTAACGAGTACTCCATGGTGCTCACAGGGGCTGCGTTCTATCACAGGTAAAGTAACATGGTGCTCACAGGGACTGTGTTCTACAGGTAAACTAACATGGTGCTCACAGGGGCTGCGTTCTATCACAGGTAAACTAACATGGTGCTCACAGGGGCTGTGTTCTATCACAGGTAAACTAACATGGTGCTCACAGGGGCTGCGTTCTATCACAGGTAAACTAACATGGTGCTCACAGGGGCTGCGTTCTATCACAGGTAAACTAACATGGTGCTCACAGGGGCTGCGTTCTATCACAGGTAAACTAACATGGTGCTCACAGGGGCTGCGTTCTATCACAGGTAAACTAACATGGTGCTCGCAGGGGCTGCGTTCTATCACAGGTACAGTAACATGGTGCTCACAGGGGCTGCGTTCTATCACAGGTAAACTAACATGGTGCTCACAGGGGCTGCGTTCTATCACAGGTAAACTAACATGGTGCTCACAGGGGCTGCGTTCTATCACAGGTAAACTAACATGGTGCTCACAGGGGCTGCGTTCTATCACAGGTAAACTAACATGGTGCTCGCAGGGGCTGCGTTCTATCACAGGTACAGTAACATGGTGCTCACAGGGGCTGCGTTCTATCACAGGTAAACTAACATGGTGCTCGCAGGGGCTGCGTTCTATCACAGGTAAACTAACATGGTGCTCACAGGGGCTGCGTTCTATCACAGGTAAACTAACATGGTGCTCACAGGGGCTGCGTTCTATCACAGGTAAACTAACATGGTGCTCACAGGGGCTGCGTTCTATCACAGGTAAACTAACATGGTGCTCACAGGGGCTGCGTTCTATCACAGGTAAAGTAACATGGTGCTCACAGGGGCTGCGTTCTATCACAGGTAAAGTAACATGGTGCTCACAGGGGCTGCGTTCTATCACAGGTAAACTAACATGGTGCTCACAGGGGCTGCGTTCTATCACAGGTAAACTAACATGGTGCTCGCAGGGGCTGCGTTCTATCACAGGTAAACTAACATGGTGCTCACAGGGGCTGCGTTCTATCACAGGTAAGCTAACATGGTGCTCACAGGGGCTGCTTTCTATCACAGGTAAACTAACATGGTGCTCACAGGGGCTGCGTTCTATCACAGGTACAGTAACATGGTGCTCGCAGGGGCTGCGTTCTATCACAGGTAAACTAACATGGTGCTCACAGGGGCTGCGTTCTATCACAGGTAAACTAACATGGTGCTCACAGGGGCTGCGTTCTATCACAGGTAAACTAACATGGTGCTCACAGGGGCTGCGTTCTATCACAGGTAAACTAACATGGTGCTCACAGGGCTGCGTTCTATCACAGGTAAACTAACATGGTGCTCACAGGGGCTGCGTTCTATCACAGGTACAGTAACATGGTGCTCACAGGGGCTGCGTTCTATCACAGGTAACTAACATGGTGCTCACAGGGGCTGCGTTCTATCACAGGTACAGTAACATGGTGCTCACAGGGGCTGCGTTCTATCACAGGTAAACTAACATGGTGCTCACAGGGGCTGCGTTCTATCACAGGTAAACTAACATGGTGCTCACAGGGGCTGCGTTCTATCACAGGTAAACTAACATGGTGCTCACAGGGGCTGCGTTCTATCACAGGTACAGTAACATGGTGCTCACAGGGGCTGCGTTCTATCACAGGTAAAGTAACATGGTGCTCACAGGGGCTGCGTTCTATCACAGGTATAGTCAGAACCCCTGCCTGCTCTCTGTGGGGGGTGTAGGGGCCATGATAATAGTTCAGGGAGGGGATGCGGATGGTAGGGAGAAAAACTGTCCAAGCGGTAACACATGCCAATTACTTTGAGCACATATAGGCAGGCAGGCAGGCAAGGTGGCTATAAAAAGCCCTAAGACATATCGGGACCTGTTAACATCCTCCCACTATATAGCAGAAACTCTGTGAGCTCGTTCTCCTGCACTTGTCACTTACTCTTATCACGGATGGGTGTGATCAGGTTTGTATTGTTCTGTACCAGCATCACATGTTGCGACAGACAGACACTGGTTCATATATGTTTTATTCAGGAGTAGTCTACTTCTTTCAGTACAGTAAGAGCCATTTAGAAAATTCCTCTCACACCACTGACAGTTTTTGTATCTAAGCAGCATAATAGAAAAGGAAATAACGTATTCGATTTTTTCTTTCCTTTTGTCATCAAATATTTGATTGTAAATGCAATGCCTCAACAAAATGAATACAAAGTATTAAGCCATGCAGCAAATTGAATTGAGAAGTACTTTCCTCTCATGAGAGATTTGAAGTCATGTATTTTCGGGCAGTTGCAGATAAACTGCTCTCATAGAACATTTCATTGTTGTAATCTATTGTGTGGTTTCAAAATACCTCTATTATTCAGGACTCAAGGCTCTCAAGGGTCTGTCTACTGAGGCAAGTGAAAGTGTTTCTAACATACAGTGAGGGGAAAAAAGTATTTGATCCCGTGCTGATTTTGTACGTTTGCCCACTGACAAAGAAATGATCTGTCTATAATTTTAATGGTAGGTTTATTTGAACAGTGAGCGACAGAATAACTACAAAAAAATCCAGAAAAACGCATGTCAAAAATTTTATAAATTGATTTGCATTTTAATGAGGGAAAAAAGTATTTGACCCCCTCTCAATCAGAAAGATTTCTGGCTCCCAGGTGTCTTTTATACAGGTAACTAGCTGAGATTAGGAGCACACTCTTAAAGGGAGTGCTCCTAATCTCAGTTTGTTACCTGTATAAAAGACACCTGTCCACAGAAGCAATCAATCAATCAGATTCCAAACTCTCCACCATGGCCAAGACCAAAGAGCTCTCCAAGGATGTCAGGGCAAAGATTGTAGACCTACACAAGGCTGGAATGGGCTACAAGACCATCGCCAAGCAGCTTGGTGGGAAGGTGACAACAGTTGGTGCGATTATTCGCAAATGGAAGAAACATAAAATAACTGTCAATCTCCCTCAGCCTGGGGCTCCATGCAAGATCTCACCTTGTGGAGTTGCAATGATCATGAGAACGGTGAGGAATCAGCCCAGAACTACACGGGAGGATCTTGTCAATGATCTCAAGGCAGCTGGGACCATAGTCACCAATAAAACAATTGGTAACACACTACGCCGTGAAGGACTGAAATCCTGCAGCGCCCGCAAGGTCCCCCTGCTCAAGAAAGCACATATACAGGGCCGTCTGAAGTTTGCCAATGAACATCTGAATGATTCAGAGGAGAACTGGGTGAAAGTGTTGTGGTCAGATGAGACCAAAATTGAGCTCTTTGGCATCAACTCAAGTCGCCGTGTTTGGAGGAGGAGGAATGCTGCCTATGACCCCAAGAACACCATCCCCACCGTCAAACATGGAGGTGGAAACATTATGCTTTGGGGGTGTTTTTCTGCTAAGGGGACAGGACAACTTCACCGCATCAAAGGGATGATGGACAGTGCCATGTACCGTCAAATCTTGGGTGAGAACCTCCTTCCCTCAGCCAGGGCATTGAAAATGGGTCGTGGATGGGTATTCCAGCATGACAATGACCCAAAACACACGGCCAAGGCAACAAAGGAGTGGCTCAAGAAGAAGCACATTAAGGTCCTGGAGTGGCCTAGCCAGTCTCCAGACCTTAATCCCATAGAATATCTGTGGAGGGAGCTGAAGGTTCGAGTTGCTAAACGTCAGCCTTGAAACCTTAATGACTTGGAGAAGATCTGCAAAGAGGAGTGGAACAAAATCCCTCCTGAGATGTGTGCAAACCTGGTGGCCAACTACAAGAAACGTCTGACCTCTGTGATTGCCACCAAGTACTAAGTCATGTTTTGCAGAGGGGTCAAATACTTATTTCCCTCATTCAAATGCAAATCAATTTATAACATTTTTGACATGCGTTTTTCTGGATTTTGTTGTTGTTATTCTGTCTCTCACTGTTCAAATAAACCTACCAATAAAATTATAGACTGATCATGTCTTTGTCAGTGGGCAAACGTACACAATCAGCAGGGGATCAAAAACTTTTTTCCCTCACTGTATTGTCACAAGTAGCAAGTGTAGAAACAATCCTATCAGATCAGCGCAATTAACAAATCAGTGTCATTAATTAGATAGCTATACTGATCAAAAATATAAACGCAACATGTAACAATTTCAAAGATTCTACTGAGTTACAGTTCATAAAAGGAAATCAGTCAATTTAAATCAATCAATTAAGCCCTAATCTAAGGATTTCACATGGCTGGGCAGGGGCGCAGCCATGGGTGAGCCTGGGAGGGCATAGGCCCACGTGGTCTGCGGTTGTGAGACCAGTTGGACGTACTGCAACATTTTCTAAAACGACGTTGGAGGCGACTTATGGTCGAAAAATGTACATTCAATTCTCTGGCCATAGCTCTGGTGGACATTGCTGCAGTCAGCATGCCAATTGCACACTCCCTCAAAACGTGAGACATCTTTTGGCTTTGTGTTGTGTGACAAAACTGCACATTTTAGACTGGCCTTTTATTGTCCCCCGCACAAGGTGCACCTGTGTAATGATCCTGCTGTTTAATCAGCTTCTTGAAATGCCACATCTGTCAGGTGGATGGATTATCTTGGCAAGGGGATAAATGTTTACTAACAGGAATGTAAACACATTTTTGCTTATGAAAAATATCTGGGATCTTTTATTTCAGCTCATGAAACATGCGAACTACACTTCATATGTTGTGTTTTATATTTTTGTTCAGCATACATTTCCCATCCAAAGATATCAACATGAACAAAGATATCAGGCAGAGTGTGATATTCAGATCTGGAAAATGACAATGTTGACAAGATAACTGACAACAACAATATCACATAGATCAATAGCTTCGCAGAGAGAGAGGCACAGAGTTTGTCTCAAAGGAAAGTCCTTGTGCTCGTCTTTCCTGTGCGGATGAGACAGACAAACGGTGCTGACGGCAGACCTTGGCTGTGACACCTCACCTTTACTAGGCTGACAGTGATAGCTGGGCTGATGCTGCAGAGGCCAAGAGCCCAGCGGAGCTACCAGAGGGGAGGAGGAGAGGAGAGTGAAGGCACCAGTCAGACTGCCTCTGGATCTAAAAAGAGTGCCCCACCCCAACTGACTGACTGACTGATGCCCATCCCTCAGCACAGACATACAGGAAATTATGTGCCTGCCTTTGTCAGCCATACAGCCAGGGCCCCCAACATAATAAACAGATGGGAAATGAGACATGGTACAATCAGGGCTGCCAGAAAGAGAGGGGAGAAGTGTCTCACTCTGAGAAATTAAAACATCTGTCTCTGGGTGTCGTCAGGCGGGTGGATGAGGCCGTAGGGGAGGGTGGCTCTTCTCTGGGCTGGCTGTGTAGTCACTGCTGTTTCCATTTGCAATATTGTGCTATGCAGTATATCAATGTGGTGTCCTTTTATGAATGTATCCATCCCTCTTTCTCTCTGTTTCTCTAGGTATTATCACTACCTGTACACTCACTACTTGCCAGCCAGCCTTCTAACAATGGTGGACCAGATGGCCAACTGTGAGGACATCCTGATGAACTTTCTGGTGGCCGCTGTCACTAAGCTCCCACCAATCAAAGTCACCCAGAAGAAGCAGTACAAGGAGACAATGATGCAGCAGGTACAGTAGGTCTCCGTGGTATCAGTGTGTGCTTGCAGGCGTTTGTGCGTATGTGTGCGTGCCTGAGCATGCGCGTTTGACCTGACAATCCTAGCTCATTGAAGATGCCATCCGTGAAACCATGTGTTTACACAGCATACATCACTAACCAACGGCCAATTTCCAGCGCTTGGGTCAGGGCCCAATCTCAAGCATTGGCGGTTGGTGCCGTTTAAGATTAGGGAGTAAGATTTTTATTTTTTATGAGCACGGCGTATTTCTGTTACAGCATATTGGAAGACTGTCATTCATATTCCATTTATCCAGCTCAATGTAACATCGATAGGTTTAGGCTATCATGAGGTTGCTACAACCTAGCCTACAATTGAAAGTTTATAGCGTAGGTACACACAGGTCCCGAGACAAATTTGAGTAATCAAGGTGACAGACACTGACACATTCAATACCGCCTTGCACACTCTTGCCTGCATTTACTGATCTGGGGTGTAATCATTAGTCCAAACAGTTGAAAAATGTTGTTTTGCAACTAAAACAATAGTTTCTATTGGACAAATTCAGGTAGGTCCCTCCCCATTTAGTTTGCTTCCGTTTAAGAAATGTTTTGCAGCAGAATCAGCGGAATGAATACAACAATGATCACCCGCACACATAGTTCACTTTCAAAGCAGCCACCTACAGCATCATCACTTTGCTAGTTGTATAATTCCTTCTCCCATCTACACACTCTCCTCCTCTCACCTTTTCCATTCGCTTGGACTTCAGTGCACAACTCAACAGCTGTCTGTGACCAGGCAAAAAAAAACTCTCCATTCAAACCTTCATACCATAATGGGCGGCAGGTAGCTTAGTGGGTAAGAGCGTTGTGCCAGTAACCGAAAGGTCGCTGGTTCTAATCCCCGAGCCGACTAGGTGAAAAATCTGTCGATGTGCCCTTAAGCAAGGTACTTAACCCTAATTGCTCCTGTAAGTCGCTCTGGATAAGAGCGTCTGCTAAATGACTAAAATTTAAATGCTACACATCCTACAGCGTTGTCACCATATTAATGTTATATTCAACAAACTAGAACTAACGTGTTTGAAAACCCACAATCCAATCCATGTGTACATTCACGCAGTACAGTGTACAGCAAGCAGTTTAGTAGTTACACTGAAAAAATTTAATACATCTGAAAGTTTACGTTGACTTAAAAGAGTTGCAGTGTTGGATATCCTTAGCCGGTTAGCTAACATAAATGGCATTCCTCTCTGTTTGAGTCAGGTTGTTGAGTAGGACAAATTAGCTACATTAGCTAAGTAAGTGAAAGGTGAACTAAGAAGATTTTAAAAAATACAATGAACGAAATATAGCTAGCTCTCTCTCTGCTGCCTCTTCTTAATTTTTTAAGAAATTAATTTGTTCAAAACTGTTCAACTATTGTCTTTCTCTGAGTCAACTACTCACTGCACTTTATACACTGCAGTGCTAGCTACAGTGAGGGAAACATTTATTTGATCCCCTGCTGATTTTGTACATTTGCCCACTGACAAAGAAACGATCAGTCTATAATTTTAATAGTAGGTTTATTTCAACAGTGCGAGACAGAATAACAACAAAAAAATCCAGAAAAACGCATGTCAAAAATGTTATACATTGATTTACATTTAATGAAGGAAATAAGTATTTGACCACCTCTCAATTCACATTTCTTTCTTTTCTTGGTCTTTTTATTTTTTATCTTTTTCTTTTCATTTTTTCCTTTTTTTTATTTATCCTTTTTATTTTTTTATTTTTTTATTTTTTTCATACTGGCCCCCCATGGGAATCGAACCCACAACCCTGGCGTTGCAAACGCCATGCTCTACCAACTGAGCTACATCCCTGCCGGCCATTCCCTCCCCTACCCTGGACGACGCTGGGCCAATTGTGCGCCGCCCCATGGGTCTCCCTGTCGCGGCCGGCTACGACAGAGCCTGGATTCGAACCAGGATCTCTAGTGGCACAGCTAGCACAGCGATGCAGTGCCTTAGACCACTGCGCCACTCGGCCTGGGGCTCCATGCAAGATCTCACCTCGTGGAGTTGCAATGATCATGAGAACGGTGAGGAATCAGCCCAAAACTACACGGGAGGATCTTGTCAATGATCTCAAGGCAGCTGGGACCATAGTCACCGTGTTTGGAGGAGGAGGAAGGCTGCCTATGACCCCAAGAACACCATCGTTTCTTGTAGTTGGTGGCCAACTACAAGAAACGTCTGACGTCTGGGATTGCCAACAAGGGTTTTGCCACCAAGTACTAAGTCATGTTTTGCAGAGGGGTCAAATACTTATTTCCCTCATTAAAATGTAAATCAATTTATAACATTTTTGACATGCGTTTTTCTGGATTTTTTTGTTGTTATTCTGTCTCTCACTGTTCAAATAAACCTACCATTAAAATTATAGACTGATCATGTCTTTGTCAGTGGGCAAACGTACAAAATCAGCAGGGGATCAAATACTTTTTTCCCTCACTGTAGCTGTAGCTTGTGCTTTCAGTAATAGATTCATTCTCTGATCCTTTGATTGGATGGACAACATGTCAGTTCATACTGCAAGAGCTCTGATAGGTTGCAGAATGTCCTCTGGAAGTCGTCATAATTACTGTGTAAGTTTATGGAAGGAGATGAGAACCATGAGCCTCCTAGGTTTTGTATTGTCAATGTACCCAGAGGAGGACGGAAAATAGCTGTCCTGCGGCTACACCATGGTCCTACCCTAGAGGGTGCTGTTGAGGCTACTGGAGACCTGCATTGTAAAACCGTGGGTTTTAATCAGTTATTTGGTGACATTACTATTTTGAGTATAGTTTTATCTAAAAAGGATAACTTCTTTAACGTTTCACTACTTTTATTTTTATGAAATTCACTGAGTAGAAATAGTCTCCCGAGTGGCGCAGTGGTCTAAGGCACTGCATCGCAGTGCTAGCTGTGCCACTAGAGATCCTGGTTCGTATCCAGGCTCTGTCGTAGCTGGCCGCGACCGGGAGACCCATGGGGCGGCGCACAATTGGCCCAGCGTTGTCCAGGGTAGGGGAGGGAATGGCCGGCAGGGATGTAGCTCAGTTGGTAGAGCATGGGGTTTGCAACGCCAGGGTTGTGGGTTCGTTTCCCAAGGGGGGCCAGTATAAAAAATTATGTATGCACTAACTGTAAGTCGCTCTGGATAAGAGCGTCTGCTAAATGACTAAAATGTAAATGTTCTCCCATTCCTCCTCTGAGGAGCCTCCACTGATCTCAAGGTGCCTGCTAGTCTGAAATTAGCCTGAAGTTACAGCCAGAGCCTGTGAGGTGTGCTGTGAGGTGGGATATGAGAGGAGAAGGACTGCAGTATTACAGACCGGTTCACTCAGGAGCCTCCAGAGAGAGGTGGAGGCAGAGGGAGGAGGCTGCAGAGTGCCAACAGTCTCCCTGTGTGATTCCCCGTCCGGTCAGTCGGTGTGCACGGGCTGGGCCGGGGCCGGCCCACGTCAGGCCTGACTGATGGCCCAGCTCGGGGCAGCCCGATGACTCGCCACTATCGGCACTGTGATTAATGTCTTAATTGTGTAGGCAGCAGCGTACCAGTGGTAGATTTTCTCCCCTCTCTCAACACCTAGTATCTTCAGGCCCTTTCCAGGCATATTTTTCCACTGCAGTCATCGGTTGCCATGCTTCAAGATCACACAGGAAAGTTAATTGGAAACATGGGGACATTTGTTGGAGATTTTGGCCGGCCTTGGAAGGAAAACAGTTTACATCAGTCAACACAGCTCTAATGTACCATCCTCCACACAGTACATGTTTCTGCTTTTACACTGATGCAGTGTCAGTTAGTCCCATGACCTGTGTGGGGTTGGCATGCTGAACTGACGTATCTCCTCTGTCTGTGTGTCTGTCCACAGGGTTCTAAGACGTCCCGGTGGGCCGACCCGGACCACTTTGCCCAGAGACAGACGTGTATGAACTCGTTCAGCGGCTGGTTTGGGTTCATGCCCCTGCTGCACTCCCAGATGAGACTGGACCCTGTGCTGTTCAAGGACCAGGTCTCCATTCTGAGGAAGAAGTACAGGGACATCGAGAGGCTGTGAACCCAACACACACAAACACATACACACAGAAGAAACTAGATTGGTGTGGGTTTGGGCCAAATCTCCCTCCCAGCTGCAAGTGAAAACCAGCCTGTTCAGTCAGTCAGACTGTGCGAACGATACGTGAAATCTCTACAGAGTAATTTATTATGAAATATGCAACACCAGGACCGTTATCCATAGGTAATGATCTTGGCTATTGAAGATGATTCATCTTCAATGTCAGTGAGTTGGACTGTGTCGATGTTGTCGTCATTGTTGTCAAAAAATGAATATTGTGACTTTTCACACGCTTCAACACCAGACAGATTGTCGTTGTCACTTCTTTCTCTGACAGAGGAACCAGGAAGTGAGGTCACAAAAGCCTGCAATGTGCACTCAAGTTTGCTTTCTGATATTTTCTGGGGCAGTGTGGTCTTAAACAAAAATGAACACAGTGCATTGTGTTTGTCCTCCATGAGATCTATAAAGTTTTTCTCTAACATTGTATATGTTGCTTTCCATTATTCATTTCCAGGGCTTATTGGGTTTTCAATTTGGAATTGTTTTATTTTTTGGTTGCTTCGTTCTCCTATAAGCTTTAAATTGCCAAAAAATCTAATCTGATAAAAGATGCTGAAATGTATACAGCCTATTGTATTTATTCTCTCTGTTTCAGCGATGATGGCGGTATACAACCTGTTTAGAAGGAATAACTACCATGTTCTTTTGTCTTGGTGAAATGTTAAATATGCAAAAGTTGAACAAACAACTCTTCCCATCAAAGACCACCTCAGGACACCATCCTGATTCTCTACGTCTGTTTAAATGCTGGAGACATGCCACTCACTGTCACCCTGCCTAGCTATAAACAGGGTGTGGGTTTCTGCATCCGCCGGTGGATTTACTAGGTAGACATTGCATAGTGCTTAGCCACAGGGGTGGGCGTGGTGATGCTACTGATGGGCGTCTTTGATTTCTGTTCGAGGTCTGAAGCGTCTTTCATGTCCCTCCAGAGAACCAACCCAGCCTACCCCCTCCACAGCTCAGCTGGGTCTGAGAGGAGGAGACCAGCCTCTGCATGGTACTCCCTGTACGCCCCTCATCTCCCTCTCCTTCTCACAACCAATAATCATGTTTACTTCATTATCATTGTACTATAATACCTCTGAGCATCACACACCACAGGTATGGTCAAAGTCTCAATGCCTATTATACTGTAAGTTTAAAATAATGTCGTTAATGAATGCTTCGTCGATGTTATTCATTCTTGCCTATGTACAGCGAAGTATACATTACCAACATTATTTAAATGTAATAATAGGCATTGAGACTTTGACCATACTGTTGTGTCTGTGGCTCAGAAGTATTATAGTAAAATGGTAATGAAGTAAACATGGTTATGAATAACATTGACATCAGCTTAACTTTGCAACCACGGCTTTCTTTCTTAGGGTGAATGGGTATCAGGTATGCTAAGGAGCTAATATCTCTGACTGTGTATGTTATTAATGAAATGTCATACTTTGTTCTAGACACCATGCTCTGCTCAGTACATAAACAACCAATGATTTAATGATGGGCCTAATGGCAGGCAAGCAAGAGTGTTTTTGTTTCAGTTTGGCCAAGGGGATATGTCTCACTTGCCCTCCCACGATGATGCATGATAATGTCAATGCTCCCCCAGAACTCATTCAATACAGCTTCTGAAGGACCTGCCTCTTAGGAGTGCCTCTCCCTCAAGTGGGACCCAGACAAGGCTATTTTACACCGAGTAGAGGCCATTCTGAATATGAATGAATAGATTTAGAATAGATTTATTGATCTCTTATCCATAAGGGAGGGAAAGAACAGTGAGCCTCCTGAGTGGCGCAGTGGTCTAAGGCACTGCATCGCAGTGCTAACTGTGCCACTAGAGATCCTGGTTCGAATCCAGGCTCTGTCGCAGCCGGCCGCGACCGGGAGACTCTTGGGCGGCGCACAATTGGCCCAGCGTCGTCCAGGGTAGGGGAGGGAATGGCCGGCAGGGATGTAGCTCAGTTGATAGAGCATGGCGTTTGCAACGCCAGGGTTGTGGGTTTGATTCCCACGGGGGGCCAGTATAAAAATAATAATAATGTATTCACTAACTGTACGTCGCTCTGGATAAGAGCGTCTGCTAAATGACTAAAATGTAAATGTAAATGTAAACAGTTTATAGTATTTTTTAAAGGGTCTTCTCTCTTTGCCTGCTCTGTTCAGAGGTAACACAGGAGAGATGAAGAACGAGAGGAGAGAAGAGGAGGAGGTGTAGGAAGGATGCTGATGCATACTACTAGTAATTCTGCCCGTAGTGCCTGGGGGAATAGGAATGAGCACACAGAATGAGACTGCCATTGATCCAAACGGAGAGTCAGCCTTTTATTTGTTTTTAGAGGAAGAGCAGGGTTAATGTCTGTGTTCATGAATCCATTTCTGTGTATATGAATATGTCAATGTTCTATCATCGAGGGGGCATTCTGAGGGTATTGGTTATAATGGCCTGAATTAGCTCTCAGGAGACACATTTAGCAGGTTCAACTATCATGCAGCATGCTTTCCCACAGTTTTTATTAGATTTCCTTTTCCCATTTATTACTGTGCCAGTCGAGGTGGTTTAGTATATGTCACGACATACAAGAACAGTGTAGTATCGAGTAAATGCTGGCAATTATTGCTGATAAACAAAGGAGTCTGCTCATACTGAACCTTTGATCATAAGTTTATTCATATCACAAGATTCCAGCATAAGTGACGGATGTCATGACCACCCGGAGAGCGACTTCCCAGATTGCAATGGTCGCTCTAACCTCTTCTTCGCTTTTTACCCAGTATATATAATCTTCCCAAGATAGGGGTGGCTCCCTCTACTGTCCAATCCCCTGTCTACAACACACAGACTTCTCTGTCCTATCCGAGGGTGTCACATTAAAACCATTCCCTCTGACACTAAAATAAACGTCCTCTCCGGTTCCACTTAAAAACATTAACAACGTCATAATCTTCATATACGACAACAGCGTTAGAGGAGCATTTACAACTCCACACTCTTATTCAATATCTCTGAAATTAACTTGTCTGCCCTGCAAAGCAGTTGATACACAATGAATACAAATGTGACTGCATAGTTCTAATTTAGGTGTTAGTGCAGGCTTGGTGTCATACACACTCAAGTGCTATACATTCATATTCTACTGCCTTTATATTGAAATAGTATAAGGTTTGCATATATTCTTGTTTTAGCACTTTTTGCCAGTCAAACACCATGTGGGTCGTTCCACCAATTCGGTGCCTTTTGAGAAGTGTAACTTGGTCAATTATTTTTAGATTTCACCTACAGTGGGGAAAAAAAGTATTTAGTCAGCCACCAATTGTGAAAGTTCTCCCACTTAAAAAGATGAGAGGCCTGTAATTTTCATCATAGGTACACGTCAACTATGACAGACAAATTGAGGAGAAAAAATCCAGAAAATCACATTGTAGGATTTTTTATGAATTTATTTGCAAATTATGGTGGAAAATAAGTATTTGGTCACCTACAAACAAGCAAGATTTCTGGCTCTCACAGACCTGTTACTTCTTTAAGAGGCTCCTCTGTCCTCCACTCGTTACCTGTATTAATGGCACCTGTTTGAACTTGTTATCAGTATAAAAGACACCTGTCCACAACCTCAAACAGTCACACTCCAAACTCCACTATGACCAAGACCAAAGAGCTGTCAAAGGACACCAGAAACAAAATTGTAGACCTGCACCAGGCTGGGAAGACTGAATCTGCAATAGGTAAGCAGCTTGGTTTGAAGAAATCAACTGTGGGAGCAATTATTAGGAAATGGAAGACATACAAGACCACTGATAATCTCCATCGATCTGGGGCTCCACGCAAGATCTCACCCCGTGGGGTCAAAATGATCACAAGAACGGTGAGCAAAAATCCCAGAACCACACGGGGGGACCTAGTGAATGACCTGCAGAGAGCTGGGACCAAAGTAACAAAGCCTACCATCAGTAACACACTACGCCGCCAGGGACTCAAATCCTGCAGTACGAGACGTGTCCCCCTGCTTAAGCCAGTACATGTCCAGGCCCGTCTGAAGTTTGCTAGAGTGCAATTGGATGATCCAGAAGAGGATTGGGAGAATGTCATATGGTCAGATGAAACCAAAATAGAATTTTTTGGTAAAAACTCAACTCGTCGTGTTTGGAGGACAAAGAATGCTGAGTTGCATCCAAAGAACACCATACCTACTGTGAAGCATGGGGGTGGAAACATCATGCTTTGGGGCTGTTTTTCTGCAACGGGCCTCTCTCATCTTTTTAAGTGGGAGAACTTGCACAATTGGTGGCTGACTAAATACTTTTTTCCCCCACTGTAATTTACATTCTGTCACACAGAACACACGTTCAACTTAATAAAAAAACTAGTTTTCCCATCTCAAGAGGTGAAACAAAACAAAAAAAGTTAAGTGCCAAATAAACTAAGTTTTGACTGTAACAGGGTTGACGATTTCTTTTTAAATCAGCCATAAATCCACTTGTGACAGGGGAATGGAAGCTTGTTGTGTACAACAGGGAGTGGCAATTGAATGCAAGATGCAACAAAAAATTTAATTGGTAAAAAATGTCTAGCCTGGGTAAAATGTTTAAAAAGGAATAGTTTCACCGTATTAATACGAGAGCTCAGCTCACGTAACAGGGTTGACCTTAAAATGAGGGACAGATGTAAATGAATCACTAATCACATTAAATAAATAATCTACATAAATGACTTTGTCTAAGCAACAAAATTACTAGGGCTTTACAATGATGGTGAAACTTGAAGAAATGTTGGGATTAAAAGTGAGTACATTTTCCTAGAAGTGACACAGGGTTGACAGAGGTACATGTCAAAATGCTGAACTTTGGCACTTTAGCAAGCCTTTTTCATATTCAAAATCAGATTAATTGAATATAACTGGCTTTAAAAATGCAATATTGGTGCAAAATTACTTAAAATATAAGCA